GTCTATTAGAAAGGAAAGACTGAACCCAGGCGCAGATGTATGGAGGCACCCCTCTGGACTTCATGAAAGTAGTGAGTAGCGTTGAATTGATGTTGTCAAACCCCCCTTTGATGTCAAGGAAGAGTGACGAGGCTTTGAGCCCGGGCCACTGAAGGCACCGGATCTCGTGGGTGAGGGCGGCGTAGGCGTCATAGGTACTGAGTCCAGGGAGCGAGCCACACTGATTTGGGTTGATTAGGCCGCGTGAGCGGGCTACTAGGGAGAGGCGAGAGGCAACAATCCTTTCTAGGACTTTGGAGACTGTCTGGAGGAGGACGATGATGCGGAAGGAAGAGGGGGAGGAATAGTCTGGTTTACCTGGCTTAGAGAGAACGACTCCGTTGGCCTTTTTGAGGGAGGGGGGGTGGAAGCCAAAAGCTAGTAAAGGAGAGAGGAGGTTAACAAGGAGGGAGGGATTAGCTGCATGGACCTTCTTCCAGACCCCGTAGGGGATCTGGTCCGGGCCTGGGGCTGACGAGTTTGACGACTTGGACAGGGCCTTCTGTACCTCCTCGGGGAAGAGAGGGGGCGAGTCGCGGAAGGGCCTGAGGATGGACGGAGTGGGAGTGGAAGTTTTGTGGGGGAAGAAGTAATTCAGGAGTGCTGAGTTGATCTGTTCGGGGGAGGAGAGGCCGGGAAAGGAGGGGAAGCGGTCAGGGGCTCTTCCAGTGGCAAGCCTTTTGGCCATCCAGACTGAGCGGAAGTCAACCTTGGCAAGGAAGCTTTTCCAATGCTCGGCCTTTGCCTTCTTGATCGCCTTGAAGTAGCAGGAGCGGGCCTCGCGGGCCTCAGTATTGAGTGTGGGGGAGGGGGAGGAGCGGGACCTTCTGGCAGCGGCATTAAAAGCCCGGCGCAGTGAGGTCAAAAGGGGGGACCACCAAGGCTTAGACCTAAGTGAGGGGCGTTTTAGCGGGGCGGGAGCCAAGAGTAGGGCTGAAAGGGCACCAAGGTGTCGATCGAACCATGAGCTGAGGGGGGAGGCTGTAGGGAGGGAAGGCGGCGGCGGGACATTGACTCTCCGCAGGTTTTCAAGCACCGGTGGCCAGT